TGGACATGTTTAGCATTTTCTTCTTCTTCCTGGAAATATCTACACTGGTTTGCTTTATTCTCATACAAGTCACATGTCTCCGGAGTCTGTAGCATCCAATCAGCAGTCCTACTAGCATTCAAGTCTTAACACTTCCTAGCATTAGTTTGCATAGTTGCTTTCATTATGCAACACCAGATCAAGCGGGGTTCATCATGTTTTCCATTTTATGGCCGAAATTTCAGTTCTCTTTGAGTTTCGTCTAAGAAACCTTGGTACACGGGCCTATTCTCATTATTTCCATTCTTAGCATCAGTAAGTTCATCTTTTTCACCAACTTCTTCAGAGCCTAGATGCAATCCCAAATGGTCGATCGATATGGTTTTTTGTAACTCCTTCAAAATAAGTCATCTCTGAAGGGCTTGGATTATTTACAAGTAAATGTTCTCAATATGCGTGCCATGATGATTCAGAAATGTAACTGGTAAAGATAAAATCTGGCTGTATCTCTTGGTTAGGCGGACCATTATGTTTACAACATATATATTGTTATAATATACATAGTTATAAAGCTTTCAGTCGTTTTTAATGTAAGAATTTATGATTATTTGGAGATCGTGAGATGCGGTCTGGTGTGACGTAGGTTTCAGAAAAACATTTTCTTTATCGTGCCAACGTTTCGATCTTTATTGAGATCATCTTCAGGGCTCAAAGAGTTTGTTTGCTGTATACATGTGTCGTTATTGTGTGTCGTGCTGAGAGTGCCCAATAATGACACATGTACACAGAAAACAAACACTTTGAGCCCTGAAGATGATCTCAATAAAGATCGAAACGTTGGCACGATAAAGAAAATGTTTTTCTAAAACGTACGTCATACCAGACCACATCTGACGATCTCTAAATAATCATTAACTAACGGTCACTAAACACCACACGTAAGATTTTGTTTTTTTCATGTATTGTAGCAAATCACTCATGTGCTGGATCATTTTATTGGTGGCTTTTCCCACAATTTATCGATTGACGTCAAACAGAAAGGCTAGAAAGCTGATCAATCCTACAATCTTTTTCTTGTGAAACGTTTTAACTCGATAAAATTGACAGAACACAGGCCCATAAGAAGATCCTGTTAACAATGTCTTCAACACATGTCCAAAACAAACCAATTTAGGATGGAATTCAATCTGACCGGGACTCGCAGCCATTTTAACGACCCTCGATTTATCCCTCTTTGAATTCCGAGGGGTTGTTCGGATGTCTTTGTCAAAGCTCTCCCCTTTTGTAGAGGGTCGGAGGCCATGTTTGACAGTTAAAAACTAAAATTAAAAAAACAGAAAAAAACTTTCAACACAGTTTTAGACTGATAAAAATATTACGGTTATTATGTAGTATAGTATAATATGGTAAGATCTTTAGAGAAGTAATATGTATAGTTTTTCAAAAGCGGAAATTTATCTTTTCCTAGATATCAATTATCGAAGATATTTACAAATAATTTATATTAATCATACAATTGGTAACACATTTTAACTTTGTTCGATTCCGAAGCGTGCTGAAACCTTTTTCGCCTGTTAAAAGTTCCTAAACTTTTATTCTACAACGCGATCCGTTCGTTTTTACGACGCAGTTTAATAATATTCAAAAATGGAAAGAATTTAGGCAAGGGAATAAAAGAATGGGATAAAAAACGAATAAAGAAAGAAAAGATTAAGTAAACGCGTGATAACGAACCGGCCGCTACCTGGGTGAAACTTTTAACAACTTTTGCTCAAAACGTCGGCCCCTTACGCATACGCTTAACACGCGATAAAAATTAACAAATCCTCACTGGTTGATAAATAACGTCAATGTACTTTTGTTGGTTTTTTTCAAACAACATCGTATGCCAGAAGATTCTAAGAATAAATATCGGTTTTGTCTGGCCCCGGAGGCATGTTCAACATTCTTATAATTAAGAGCGTTATGACCCCGCATAGGGTTGACAGACCAATAACGGCCTGATTGCGGGTGACAGTACAATGACAATTAGCAAGGAGGCCATGTATCATTGTCAGCCAGGCAGCAAGCCTTATTTCCAACCCCGGCCCCCTCACAGCCGCTACAGCAGCGCTTAGGCCCGATGGCTTTTGTTTTGCTGTTCGTAGACTTGTCTTCCAGAGAGATGGACTATTAAGCAAAGAAAAAAAGGGAAGAGCATGAAAGAATATTGCTTTTTAATTTAAAAAATCTTGTAAATTTAGGTCCCGAACGACCTCTTTTACAATTAACGAGAAAATTCTTCGATCATTATTTTAAATCACTTCGTAATATGAAAATAATTATTACACATTTATAATTATACAAAAAGCTAATAAAACTTCAACGTCTTTTCAAAAATATCATTATACAATATTCCAGCTTCTATTTCGGTATTTATTATATTTAGAATCAGAAAAATGAAACAGCTTAAAGCTATATTGAAATTTGACCTAAACATTTCTAGTACTAGCATAGAACCCATATAAATGCTTAATACACTTTCCTAAAATATTATATTAATCATAAACATAATTCTTTGCCATAAATATTATAATAAAAGTAACATCGGTTTATCATCTTCTGCTAACATAAATGGTGATTTTTCTATGTCATTTTTAAAACTTGATATCATTTTATTTTATGTGTACAGATAAATTATTTTAAAGTTTCAAATTTTTAAAAATGAATCATTTGTAGTAAGATTTTGTTTATCATTTTGGTAATGTTTGTACTGTTGTATTGCAATTTGTAATATTATTACTCCGTGTTTGCTATGTTATTTTGAATTGGGATTTTATTGAGTATCATCAGAAAAAGAATGAATGAGTGCGGTTGTACTTAATGTCGCAGACGAGAGAGAGAAAAGAGAGAAGAGAGAGAGAGAGATTGATAGGTAGATAGAGGAATAGAAATAGATAGATGGATAGATAGATAGAGAAAAAGAGATATAGAGAGAAAGAGAGAGAGAGAGAAAATACTGACATGAAGAGTATAAAAAAATAAATGAATAAGAACAGGAAAGTGAAAGACAGTTAAGGATTAACCATTAATATAAAAATTCCCAGAGTGAGAAAGATAATCTAACAGTAGAAAGATATTTACATTGTGTTTCTTCTTTTAACGTCATTCTTTGCTATACTAGAAGAAATCCAAACTCCTGATATATTTTATAAACAGAAAAAAAGTTATATACGGAAATACAGTCTGTTAGAGGAGACAGAGAGACGACAACAACAACACACGGGGCGTCGGTGGCCGCAAAGGTTTAGGCGTTGACACGGCGCTCATCACTGTAAGGTAAAGGTCCCGGGTTCGAATCCAACGGTCCTTCATTCGAACTCGACATACTTACAAATGGGCTTTTTGTACCGGCACCTCGAGGGTTGATTAAAAAAAGTCATGATTTTTTATTGAGATCTCTCCATCTTTTCATTTCTTTCTCACTCTCTCTCTCTCTTACACTCTCTCTCTTTCGCTCTCTCTCTCTCCCCCTCTCCCCTCTCCACTCTCTCTATCTATCTGTCATCTATTTATCTATACGTCCCTTTCTCTTTTCTCATCTCTCGTTTCTTATTCTCTCATTTCTCATCCTTTCTTCTCACTTTTCACTTCTCCCTTCTTTCTAATAACTTTTTTCCGCTTTCAATTTTCTACTTTACTCTTCTTCTCTCGCTATTTCTTTCTTTTTCTGTTTCTCTTTCTTACTCTCTTTTCCTCTGTGCACTCTTATTCTTTCTCTATTTCTTTCGTTTTCTGCCTCTCACTTTTCTCTCTTCTCTCTCTCTCGCTCTCTCTTTCTCTTTCACTCTCTCTCTCTCTCTTTCTCTCTCTCTCTCTCTCTCTTTCACTCCCTCTCTCACTCTCTTTCACTCCTTCTCTCCTTCCCTTTCTCTCACACACTCTTCCCCTCTTCCTCTCTCTCTCTCTCTCTCTCGCTCTCTCTTTCTCTTTCACTCTCTCTCTCTCTTTCACTCTCTCTCCTCTCGCTCTCTCTTTCTCTTTCACTCTCTCTCTCTCTCTTTCACTCTCTCTCCTCTCTCTCTCTCTCTCTCTCTCTTTTCCTCTCTTCCTCTCTCTCTTCGCTGATATTCAGCCTTCATGGGGACGTTTTTTGAGTTGCATCCGATGTTTTAATCGTTATGAGATCTTATTTATCGATGACGATTGCAAACAAAAAATGTGATTTATATGTGTATATTTATATGTTTTGTTTTTTCGTTTCTCGTTTTGTGTGAAAATCATAGAGAAAACCTTGAGTTGTTTTGATCCAATTGGGTGAATATTAAGGGATGAACATATTAATGCTTTTTTAACAATACTACAGAACTGTAAACATTGTAAACCATCAGGAACGATAAAATATAGAATACTATAAAAAAAATTTTAATAGTATTAAGCGTATTAATTTCTGAATCCTCACGAATACGATCGTGCGAATTTTCGTTCACAAAATGTATTCTTAATAGAAATGAATAGGTATAAGAATAAATTCGACCAACATTTGAAGCGAAAAACTTCCCAATAAAACACAGTATTCTTTATTCTGAAACTCGGGTGATACCGTGTGGGATAGCCTCGCGACAAATGGGAAATGTTGAGTTATCGCTGAATCACCCGGGCCCAATGGGGAAAGTGAATCTGACAGATCGGTCCGTGACTGTGTTTACAGAGGCCGGATCGCTTCTCCTAGATTAAGATGTCAATTGTACAAAATGATGTATGACGATTTGTAAATTCTTCCCTCTTCGAGGGAACAAAGCGTGTTAATTCCTTCGACATAGCCTGGTTGGAAAAATGGTAGTTATCTGGTTAACTAGTACATACTGACAAAGTACAACAAAATTAAAAGAACAAAATATTATGTGCTATTTTTGTAAATTATTCTTTGATGCAATTCTTTGTCACTCTTTTGATTTTACATTGAAAATTCCTATGTTATGTCTAAGCTTACATGTTTTTGTTACATTACGTTTGAACTTATTGTTTTTTGTCTGTTCCAGCTCCAAAACCTGCACCGACGATGGACTATAACGGTATGAATTACGGAGGAGCTGGTCTCCTTTTGGGCGGTTCAAACGGGGGCGGAAACAGCGCCCTGCTCAACAATACGGGCAGAACGAACTTCACCAACAAGCAGCTCACCGAGCTGGAGAAGGAGTTCCACTTCAACAAGTACCTCACGCGGGCGCGAAGGATAGAGATAGCCTCGGCCCTCCAGCTGAACGAGACCCAGGTGAAGATCTGGTTCCAGAACAGGAGGATGAAGCAGAAGAAGAGGATGAAGGAGGGCCTCGTCCTACACGACGGACCCGGCGGGACTTCGGCCAATTCGCCCCTCGAGCAACACGACGACAGCAGGGAGGCGCTGTGAAACGCGAACTATCCGACAGAGATGAACAACGGACTGTAGATTTGACATGTGCAAAATCAATTTTGGTCAACAGGTTTCGTAAAATTAAAAGTGGTTAATACAATTTAATAAATAAAAATTCCTAAACTTCTATACATTCCAATTTTATCTTAAACCAGTGAATGAATGTACTATCTTTTAGTCAGTACTTTTTTTTTTTGGGGGGGGGGTTATGATTTTTTCAAAGTCATAAAATGGGTGTCAACAAAAACAAGATAAACACTGGACTGAGGAAAGAAATTAACTTAAATATATTTTAAGTCTCAATGCTTCTTCAAGACCTCTAATTTCTGCAATCAAACCTTAAATAATCAAACTTTCTTAATAAAAGCTCTGTATCTTACTTAAAGAGCTTTAAACCAATAATTTCTTCTTTTTTTTAATGTAAAAATTATACAGTTGTAGCTAATTGACCTGGTTAAGAAAGAAGTCCCCTTGCTTGGATTTAATTTTAAAAGTCCACCCCTCAAACCTTCTTAAATTTTCAAAGAAAAATCCTTCATTTTGAAAATCTCTCGCCCTTCCTGTCCGGAAACAGACATGATTACAAGATTTTTTCTTTATTTACTCAACTTCCAATAAATTGTACCTTCCTATTTTTTTTCCTCAAAACTTGTTCTACTAACTTAAACTAATGATAAATTTAAAATGGCGAAAATCGGTCTTTAAAAAAATAATTTAATGAATAATTAGATAAAATATATTCTACATTATATATGTTAATGATTTTATTTCTTCCGTTTTGATGTTTTATTTCATCAATGGGCTGAAAAAAACAATAGAAAATATAGTTGGTAAAAAAAGTATTGGCACAGATCGTTGTAGTACAGGTAGAAGACAAGTTAAAAACCTGCTAGACATACGGTCGACATACTATTCATAACAACATAAAAATATTTTACAAAGCCCTTCTACCTCTTATATGGCTAAAAAATCAAAATTTTACAGGATTCGATTGTATGATCTTTTCTTCTTTAGTAACTATTAACCACTAAGATCTCCAAATTCTTCATGTTACTGTTCTAGTCAAATCTCGATACTTCAAATCCCACTCAAAATTATCTCTTCATTTCAACTTCATTTTACATCAGTAAGGATTTATTGATCGATCACAAGTGTGTTTAATTCTATAAGTGGATCAGGATGCAGTCCAATAAACATAACTTTCATAAATTTGTATGGCGTATATATTTCGTTTTCTTCACAAGGTTCTGTATTATTGCAGGTCCAATTTGATCCCAATCTTGTGAAAAGAAAATTTTAATTTCATTTTTTGTGGTAATTTATTTTATTCAATAATTACTCCTACCAAGCCATATATCTTAAGTGCATCCAATAAGAAAATTAACTCTCGGTCTCTTTTCTCTTTCTTTCTATTTCGGTCTCTTTCGTCATTAATTATCATTCATTCATCAGCATCTATTCTTTTGGTTTGTCTGTGGTGTGCATCTGATGTTGTAAGATAAGCGTGTATTCAAGTCCACTGTACAAATATTTCGTCATTATACTATTCCGGCATGCTTCTCAAGACTAGGAACCTCGTACCTGTATGATTCTATATTTGGCCATGTCGCTTATGAAATGTTGCTTCTCCAATGTACATTTGTGATCGTCAGAGTCAAAAAAACATAAAATTTGCTTTCGTATGAGCAAATAACGTTTTTTTCCAAAATTCTTTTGCAAACTCTTGTCCTCACTAATGAACGGCTTTTAACTTTCGAACCCCTAGGCATGGTAATTAAAATTGTGAATTGCATTTTTTACGACTAAAACGCTTAAATTTGTAAAGGATTTGTGGTAATCTCTGATGCAATTTTTAAAGATCAGTTTTTCTCTCTGAAGGAACATCTTACCCACTGAGCGTTTTTCATTAAGAACTGAGCCAGTCTTTTCAAAATTTGTACAATTTTTCTAACTGTTCTGAAACTCATATCTAACCGATTTGACTAATCCTTGACCGATCGCGAAAATAAACAATGTTCTTTGGTTTTTGCCATTTTTGCCACATCTGAAGTTCTGAAAGAAGTAAGACTATTCATTATTATTTACATATTTATAGACAATTTCGTAATATTTAACCAGAAGAATTAATTTGTTTGTATCTGTTTGAAAACATTTTCGGCTGTGGCAACCATTTTCTGTTTATATTGAACCAACTTTAAATTGCGATCACAGGCTTCTTTAAAATACTTATAAAAAAAACGGCGTGCCAATACTTTTCTGATCCATTTTCTCTTATTTCTAAGGTAGTTTTTGGAGCAGAATATACATAAAAGACGATTCTTCACAAATTATAAGGGATAGAGTTTCAAGTTCATCAAGACCAAATACACCATAATAGTTCATTCCGTTTTCAAAAAAAATTTTTTTTGAAAGATTCTAAAGCTCGTTATCTCCTAAAAGTAGTTTCATTCTATGCAAATAAGGATATAGTTTTTTGTAAAAAATATTTATTTTTTTCGAAAAATAGTCACTATCTCATAATATTTTTTCTTTTTTTATAATACAGCTGGCAAAAAATTCTTTTTGTCTAATACTGAACCGTTATTTAAAAATATTTAAACGTCATTTCTTTAAATAATGTATCAGGCGAATTAGTATTATCTCGTAGTAATGAAAAATTAACAAACTCAAATTTATTCTCAGGTTGAATATGAGCTGTGTCGCTCCATTTCCTTTGCTTGTAAACTAATCTCCATCCTTGGGGGTTTCCTCGCACAATCGACTTGAGAATAAGAAAAATGTCCCATATCTTTATTCCAGTAATATGTACAGTAGGGCCCGGGCGGATTGCGTGAACCATGAAGGATATGCAAATAAACCATTGGGTCAGGAACACTTCGTTATCTCGAGAGTCGATATCCAACCCGGGGGACCCGGCTTGTTAAACCGCCCGTCACGGTCGTTGACTGACAAGTTAATAAAATCCGCATTAACACCAGTTTTGGGGGGGGGGGTAATTTTTCCAATTGTGAAATTTCAAAATTGCCCGAAAATCTTTCAACTTCCACTGGCCGAAATCGTCAAATCATTTGGAGTTTTGTTCAGAAAATTTCCTCTAGTCCAATTTCCGCAGTTATAACAATTAATCTTTTTCAAAACTTCGAAAAATTAAAAAAAATCGTATTATCTCTCTGATCATAGTCTATTTAAGCTTTAAGAGACGGGTGCATATATTTTAAAATACATTGACGCCATCTGCGTACTACCAATTAGTATATTTTATATATATTATAAATATTGTGTATTTATTACCACTTATATTTTTTGTTTGTTTTATTTTTGGCATGATGAATGACACGATTTTTATTCCAAAAGATAAGGGCATACCGGAGGTGAACCATGCTGTAAAATATTATTTGTGTATTTATTTATTGACTATTTCTTTTAAAATTGCTGCCCTTTATAACAACAATTGTAATTTAAAATGAAACTATAATACAGTCTATAATTCTCTTGTATAGAGGAAATTGTAAATAATTTCACCATGTTCCTATATGTAATAAGTTGAGATTTCTCCTTATAATCGATTTACGTAAAAGCTTCACAAAAGAAAAATAAATATGTATTCGCTAAAGCAGATTGTATCGGATATATATGTGTCATATATATATTGCTATACATAGTAAACATCCTCTTTGGAGGGGGAAAAATTGTATCGTCGTGTGATTCGAAAAATAAAAACATATATAATATCAAAAACTAACTTTTTTTACCCCGTCTTTTATTCTAATTTATATAATTAACTTTTCTTTATATTTCCAGGTGTGAAACATTTGACAAAACTGTGATGAATTATGTGGTGTGTAATTGGTGATATTGCAGGGTTTTTAATCAAAAGTGCCTATCAACACGATCAAAGGCAGCCTAGAAGTCAATAAAGAAACAATATACTATTTTTACAATTTAAAGGGAAATTATTAATATTCTTTAAGGTGTCGAATATCCTTTCCTATAGCCTGCCTACTTAAAGACTTCAAAAATCTTCATTGGTGCATTATTTATGAACGAAATAATTCGGTAGTCACTGGTATCACTATCTTCCTGGGTGGATAAAAAATTATTGATCTAACGAAATAGGAAAGAACTTCACTTATAAAATTGCAAAAGGATAATAATTTTTCAAAAAAAAAATCAAGAGAAAATTTGTCCAGTACGTAGCTAATTCCATCAGGGCCAGGAGCTTTATTATTCTTGAGACCAGAGGTAACTTTTAAAAATTATTTTAAGGTAAAAGACTCATAAAGATATACTTGTGCATGGATAATCCCTAATCCGTACGAGTCCCCACTCGCTCCTTTCCCAAAAATCTAATCAGCCGCCCAGTAGCTTTTGACCAGCACTTCGCAAATATCTATTTTTCTTGTACTCTGGCCAACTTTCTAGTCCAAAATTTTGCCTTTTTGTTTGGTTCAACATACATTTTCGACGATTCTTCGCTCTCTTAGCAGTTTGGAGTCTGGATCGGAAAACTACACATGGAAGGTTTTCCTTCTTGGGCCAACCGGTCTGGACCAACTTGCAGGTACTTTCGATTTTGTTCTTCGCGAAAAGGTAAGATGTTTCATTTCCTTTTCCTTATTTTTATTTATTTTTTTTTTGTTCTTCGCATTTTCAAAAGTAATTTTTATGATTATTTGAAGATGGTGAGATGTGGTCTGATGTGACGTAGGTTTTTGAAAAATATTTTCCTTATCGTGCCAACTTTTTGATCGTTATTGCAATCATCTTCAGAGCCTGGGATTTATAAACATTGTTTAAATTTTACAAATACATGTAGGATGTGAAAAAAAATATAAAAAAAAAATAAAAAAATCAAAGTATTTGTATTCACTCAGTGTTTGTTTTCTGCATTATTAGTCACTTTTATTTCATATCTCTTTTATTTCTTAAATAGATTCTTTTCATTTTTCCCTTTTTTATGTGCAAACAAGATTATTATTAAGATTATTAAAAGATTAAGATTAAGATTAAGATTATTAAAAAGTCTTTCAATTAATTAAGGTTTTTGTTGACATGAAAAAGTCAATGTCACGAGCGGGATTCGAACCCACGACCTTCGGCTAGATACGCCGCTGCTCTACCACTTGAGCTATTGTGACCTCGATCCACTCGGACACCAACTTCCCATCTCAAGCCCACCTTTTGAATTTTCCCTCCTTTTTGCCATTTTTCAAATGTCGTGTAATCGGATTGGATTCTCGGCGACAATTGAAATGGCCACGGAGAGCTTTAGTGAAGGTGTACTTCATTTTAACTTATTAAATTGACTAGTTTTCGTGGTCCGCTTGGCCAATTAATATGTTTCAATTAATTCAGGTTTTTAGTTAAGTTAAAAAAGTCGTTTCCCGAAAAAAGTGTTCGTATCCCGCTCGT